TGCGGGAGCAACATCCGGAGTTATTCGCAGAATGAGACTTCGAGGGCGAAGTCTAGTTCTAGTGGGGGAGAGTTGTAACAGCCCGGAATTTCAGGTATTTCTTTAAATTATTTTTGGGGCACATTAAGGAGGGGACTCGGCGAGTTGGTGCATGACTCGCCGAGTAGGACCATGGTCTTGGTCGCAGATACGCGACTGGACTCGACGAGTCCAATAGGGACTCGGCGAGTCGACGCTGTTCAGCTGAAACCCTAGCCGTTTTGATTCTGAATCGTATATAATGCCTTTAGGGCCGTCATGTCGCGTCTTTTGGCCGATTGAAGATACCTTAGGAGTCTGTGGGCATCTGGAGCAAAGGGTGAGGGCTAGTGGAAGTTTGAAGAGGTTGTAGACAAGGAGAGGCAAGGTGGTGATCAAAGGAGGTTCAAGGGGTCGAGTTCTGAAGGTTGGGGACACAGGGAACACGTTTCCAGGTAATATTCGGATCATATTTGTAGCTTTTACGTTGTATGCGAATTTAGGGTTTAGGAAACCCATTTAAGGAATTGATAGATTATAGTGTTGTTACAAGTGTTTAAACCCCTGTAATAGTATATGTGAAAGTCCAGGAAGCCCCATATCTATATACTACGGAATCATGCAAGATACAGGAGGCAGCGAATTGACTGCATGGCGAGGACTCGCCGAGTCTAATGATCAGACTCGGCGAGTAGCTTGAAGATTCACTAGGACTCGCCGAGTTGTTCTTCAGACTCGGCGAGTAGCTTGAAGATCTACTGGAACTCGTCGAGTTGTTCTTTAGACTCGGCGAGTGGAGTCGGGGTGTCTAGACTCGCCGAGTTGCCCTTTGCACTCGACGAGTCCGGTCAAGTTGACCGTTGACCTGTATGTAACTTAGTAGGGTCAGTTGTCTTGTTTGATAAGATCATTAATAAAGGTATGTGGTATTATAGGGAACCTGCAGATTAGCGGATCGAGTGCGAGTAGCTCGAAGGGTTTATAGCTTGCAAACTACGAGGTGAGTCTTCTCACTATACTTCACCCGGAAGGGTTTGACTGCGTGACCGGAAGGTCGTATGTGTTATATTTATGCTATGTCTAGGGAGGTAGATGCTTGGTATGTGATGTATGCTTATACGGGCCGGAAGGCGTGATTTATGTGATAGAAAGAATGGTATGATGTATGACTTATGTGTTATGTGTGATATGCTATATGTGTTATGTTTATACTGTTATGGGCCGGAAGGCAAAATACTATGGGCCGGAAGGCAATGTAATACGGGCCGGAAGGCGATATGTTATGGGCCGGAAGGCGATTATGTTACGGGCCGGAAGGCAATGTTATGTGGACCGAAAGGTCCGGGCCGGAAGGCGTATGTGGGTAAGTCGTATACTGGGGAACTCACTAAGCATTTATGCTTACTAGTTGTGTTTATGTTTTTCAGGTACTAGCGATGACCGTGGGAAGGCGCCGGCGTGACACGTACACACTGCCATCGATGAAGATCTTGAGGATTTGTTACTTATACGTTTGCAATAAACTTGGAATAAACTCTTTTGTCGAATAATGATGTTTTATTTTAAATGAAAATTTTATTTGAAAAATTGAGTTGTTACACCTGAGATGCAGTGCAGCAACTACAACAGGAAGGGGCACACTGCCTGTTTCTGTAAAGCACTGGCATAATCAATCACCCGGACCCCCGGAACTAGAGTAAGCCAAGCCTACTATAGGTGTAGTGAAACTCGACACTACAATAGGGATTGATCCAAGAAAAAGAACATTGGTGGTGCTCGAATAGTACTGGCCAAGGGACAAGAGTAAGCAATAGCGAATCTTACAGTGGTCACAGGTATTTTTCTCTACAATCACTCTTATACATGCATACTATTTAATGGTGGTGTGGAGAGGAGTTTTGTAAGCCATAGATTTTAAACACCTTCTCAAACAAAAACCACAATCACCAACCGAAACATTCATCATTGAGATGGCCAATGTGAAAATTGAGAGAACTAATGACATATACGTAGATTGCAAACTTACACTAAACAATAAATATTATCCAATCGACCTTATGTCGGTCTCCATAAAAATTTCAACGCCATCATTGGCATGGATTGGTTAAGCCATCAACATGCCGATATTCTATGCTACAAGAAGGCCATGTGAAACCCTTGTCATCTACGGTGACAAACCCAATGCGAGCCTTCACATCATCTCTTGTGTCAAAGCCCAAAAATACATACATAAGTAGTACCACACATTCTTAGCCCACGTCGTGGATGAAACACAAGAAGTAAAAGACCTCGAGAGTGTTCCCGAAGTCTGTAATTTTCCAGACATCTTTCCTGAGGATCTCCTAGGATTTCCTCCCGAATGCCAAGTGGAGTTCTGAGGCGTTCCACACGAGTTATGACAAGTTTGTACCTCCAAGGCGTTCCACACGAGTTATGAACACACCTGAGTTTAATTATGGTTTTCATATTACTACGGAAGGTGATACATTTATCAGCGATAGTACACTAGTAAATTTGGATGAACCTAGCAGTGTTAAGGAAGCCATGGCAGACCCGGAGTCTGCTAAATGGAAGGAGGCTATAGACAGCGAGATACATTCCATGTATGAGAATAAAGTTTGGAACTGGGTTGACAATGTACCAGGCCATAAAACAGTCGGGTGAAAATGGATCTTCAAGAAGAAGACCGACATGGAAGGAAAAGTGCACACTTATAAGGCTCGACTGGTTACGAAGGGTTTTACTCAGATTCAGGGTATTGATTATGATGAAACCTTCTCACTGGTAGCAAAGATTAAGTGTATTAGGGTTATGCTAGCCATTTCTGCATTTCATGATTATGAAATACGGCAAATGGATGTCTGAAGAGGCCTTTAGATCAATCAATATATCAAACAATGACAGAAAACAAGAACAAGAGGAATTCACGAAGAAAAACTTTCACTAAGAAAGATAATCTCACAAAGAGATTATCGTGTGCACAAAGCAGCGATTAAGGTTTGTGAAAGGCGCTCTCATTCACAAACCTATACAAAATATTATATACTGAGATTCTAGACAATCCCTACAAATCAGGGATACTCTAGCTAACTAATTAAGCTATCTATGGACACAGGATAAACACAAGATTTGTTACAATGCACTGAATAAATTAAACCATTACAAACTGAGCTGCTGACACGCTGGTGCTGATACTGAGATATGCGCTGATGCTGAGTCTGTTTTAAACATTATCATATTTCAAGGTTTGACCTTACAATCTCCCCCAATATGATGATGTTCAAAATAAACTAAATTAAAACACCTCTGGAAAGGAACTCTTCATACTCAGCATCAGCTTCAATTTTGACTGGCCAGTAAGGACCATCCAGCAACTCCTGTCTTCTGTTCAGCAGTTCCATGGCAATAAGAATGTGAAACTCTCCAGATAGATCTTGATGACTCATGCACATTTGGCTTAAGCCAACAAGATGAGTGGTTGGAGCCTTTGGGATCTCAGCAGTTCGCTGAAAACACATCCTCCTGTTTTTATCAAGATAGAACATCCCGTGTTCAGGAGTTGAGATAAACTTATGCTGAACCGGATCAACACTGATAGGAAGAGAATTGTTAATTTCACCAGCACCAAAGTCCAGAACCAATACATCTTCACCATCAACTTGAAACTTGGTTCTTCGAGTTCTAGGAACTGACAACCTTTGGCCTTGATGCTGAGGTCGTTCTTTAGGAACAAGATCCAAACGCTGAACTTTCTTGATCAGCAGATGAAGAGCACAAGACAGTTCCGAAGAGTGAGCTGAGGTTTGCTTGGATGCTAGTTTAAGTAGTTCCATCCATTCAGAATATCCATACCTGATCAGCTCATCCCTCTTGACAACTTCAGTGTATGAATGCTGAGGACCTTGACGAGTGATCAGCAACATAAGGATTTTCTCATTTAGTGGTTTGGAAGCCTTGACTTTGATGATCTTATCACCACACATTCACTGATTAAGAACGTCTTCAAACCTCTTTCGATCAATCCAGTCAAGAACACTGTCAGTCTTAGGTTTACTATAGCCAGGAAGAGGTTGAGAAGACTGAGCCTTGGACTAAAATTCTAGGAATTTCTGCATCTGAGCTTCAAAAGATCCCTTGGCCTGAATTTTGTGCTGAATAAGAGATTCATCAGCTTGAGCAATGTTCTTTAGAAGCTGAGCTCGATTGGCTTCATCAAGAATTTGCTTAACTTGATCAGGAGACATGTTCCATTCAGCGGCAAGATTTGAAATACTAACTATGGACTTGGGTTTCTTCCCAGGCAGATAAGTATCAGTTTGAGAATGAGCCAAGTCAGTGTCTGCTACCTTACGCTTTCGAGATAGCGGATGAGATTCTTCACTGGCAACGTTTGAATCCTCTCCTTGGACCGAAATGATGGGAACAGCACCAGGATTAATGAAGTTCATATCAAGTATTTGACATTCATCATCTGGTTCATCATGCTCTTCATCATGCTCACTATCTTCAATCAGCTTTTCGGTAGCTGCTGGACTATTGTGCCCCGAAGGGTCAGACTCATGCATTGGCGTTGATGATTCAGGATAAACAGTAGTGTTGTCAACAGGTTCGGTGTCTCTCTCATTCGGTTCACGGTCAGCATTATCATCAGCATCAGCATCATCATCAGTATCTCCCCCTTTTTGAGCATCAGCAGATTGGGAACGAGAGGGGGAAGTTTGCAGGAGAACTTCCTGTAGCTGGTGAACATCAGCCTCAATGCAAAGAAGATGCTGATTCATGTCCCGAGTCAGTGTCAGAAGTTCAGTAAATGTTGAGGCCGGAATCTAAACAACTGAAGTAGCTGGAGCTGCTGGAGAGCTAGGAGGCATTACTGGAGAATATTGGTCCCCATGAGGTGGATTCTACCCCTGAGAGGGATGCTCCCCCTGGGATAGTTGCGCCTCCTGAAATTGTTGCTCCCCCTGAAATTGTTGCTCCCCCTAACTCAGTGAATCCTTTTGAGCTGAGGGAACATTAGCAACTGAGTCGATATGATGAGAAAGTTGAGGAGAGAAATGACCACCATCATATGGTTCATCCTCTTGACCAGCTTGATCTACATGATTACCATCAGCACCTCCTTCATTAGTGTTAGCGGTGAGAGAAAGAACAGAGTATGGATTTGCAATCCATTCTCTCATCCTATCAGAGATTCCAATGTCAGTATCCAGAGGATCATCTTGATACATGCGAACAGACATGCGTGGGAATTGGATGGGATTTCCAGAATGCGAGAAGTAGTCTGTAGCAAAGAACTTGTCGAACACAAGAGCGATCCAGCGTGGAAACGGAACATGATCAGCGCGTACATTTGCACGAAGAAGCTGAACAAGCTGATCAATGAATAGAGCTCCATAATCCAGTCTTTTGTTGAGAAGCAGTGAGCAGACGACTTGTTGCTCATAATTACTCAACTGATCACCACTTCAAGACTTATGACCCACACACTTGCACAGAGCACCGGTGAAAAATTTCCAACCTGGGGTCATACATTGGCGCAAGATAAGAGCTGATCGAGTACCAACCTTTGAGTGATCATAAACCAGTTGATCAAACATACGTCTACACCGTTCAATAGTGAGAGGTTTAGAGAAAGGTTCAAAGATAGGTAACCTTAGGGAAGCACTAAGAAGTTCTACGGTGATGAAGATAGAGTGTCTTCCACGGCCAATGGTTCCGGTGATGGCATTGTTGTCGTCATTGACAGTTGCAGTGTAGTAGAACTCACATACTTGTTCAGGGAAGAACTCGAATGGAACATCGCTGATTGCGTATCGTAGGCGGCAGGAATCTAAGAAATTGACAAAATCATCGAGTCCAAGACCTTGATGAACATCTGGAATATCAGGGTTGAAAACAATGTTTGTAGCCTTGATGTGAATTGGAAGAGGAGGAGAGTTTGGGGCAGGAACTACCCTTCGAGAGGTGGAGGAGTAAGTGAACAGAGATGATGCCATTAGAGAGTTTTTAGAGTTCTAGGGTTTTGAGGGAAGTTTAAAATTGTGGAAGAAAAGTTACATGCTGAAAGTATTTCTCTGTCAATTGAAGGTACAACTTGCTTAATCGGGGCTAGCAAGGAGATTGGTGCGTGTGATAGATACTAGTTACATTATCTAACCATCGGCACTGAGTGTTGTAACTTTATCAGTGAGTGGTTTATCATACTGAATCATTAGACACTGAATAAGAAGAAGGTAGAGAAAGTTTGTTGCGTGTGATAAACCTTGGTGTTTTGGTCTAACCATCGGCAAAGATTTTCAGATTCTCATCAGCGTGTGTTTTGTCATACTGAATCATTGAATCAGAGTAAGATTGGTAAGAAGGGATAGTTGCGTGTGATAGATCTTGGTGTTTTGATCTAACCATCGGCAAAGAGTTTCAAGTTGTTATCAGTGTATGGTTTAATACAATGAATCATTCAACTTTAGTTTAGAAGTCTTGAAGAAGAGAGAAGGATAAGAGATCAAACCAAAGTACTCAGTATGCAAATATCACCAGTATGTCATCATCAGCACAATGTACATCAGCTTATAAGACAATACCAAACATTAGCACAATTAGACAGCAAAATTAATTACAAGGTAATCATTCCAAGTTCTCCAATAATGTAAGCAGTTGTTTGAGAATCCAGTGCCTTAGTGAAGATATCAGCAAGTTGCTCCGAAGTTTTGACATGTTCAAGAACAACCTTTCCCTTTTCAACATTATCTCTGATGAAATGATGTCTGATTTCGATATGCTTCGTCTTTGAGTGTTGAACAGGGTTTTGTGTGATCTGAATGGTGCTGGTGTTATCACAATATATGGGAGTCTTTGATAACTTGATCCCATTGTCAAGAAGCTGATTTTAAATCCATAAGAGCTGAGCACAACATCTCCCAGCTGCAACATACTCAGCTTCTGCAGTTGAGATGGCTACTGATGTTTACTTCTTGCTAGACCACCTGATGAAACGATTTCCAAGGAAGTGACATCCACCAGACGTGCTCTTTCTGTCGAAATTGCATCCTGCATAGTCTGAATCGGTGTATCCATAAAGTTCAAATGCTGAGTCGCGAGGATACCACAGTGCAAGGTTTCGAGTTCCTTTCAAGTATCGAAAAATACGTTTGATAGCCATGAGGAGAGATTCTTTGGGATTAGCTTGGAATCGAGCACAGAGAATGGTTCCAAACATGATATCAGGACGACTTGTTGTGAGATATAAGAGAGATCCAATCATTCCTCGATACAGAGAATGATTGACATCATTTCCAGTTGGATCAGTGTGTATCTTATCAGTCTTGGACACTGGAGTAGAGGCTGGTTTGCAGTCACTGAGAGAATACTTAACAAGCAAGTCAGAAATATATTTACTTTGGCAAATGGAAATACTTGACTTTTGTTGCTGAAATTCAAGACCTAAGAAAAAGGTCATCTTCCCCATCATGCTCATTTCGAATCTTTGAGACATGATCTCTGCAAATTCCTTGCTCAGTGTCTCATTTGGAGAGCCAAAAATGATGTCATCGACATAAATTTGAACAAGAACAATATCTGAGCCTTTGTTTTTGATGAAGAGAGTATTGTCGATTGCTCCTCGTCTGTATCCATTTTCAAGTAGATACGATGTCAGCGTCTCAGACCATAAACAGCTTTGTCTAATCGGTACACGTAATCAGGATGATCTTTGTCCACAAAGCCTGGGGACTGATTGAGGAATACTTCTTCTTCTAACACACCATGGAGGAAAGCTATTTTCACATCCATCTAATAGACAATGAAATTCATGTAGGATGCGTATGCGAGAAACAGTCTGATTGCTTCAATGCGAGCAACTGGAGCAAAAGTTTCCCCGTAGTCGATGGATTCAATTTGAGTAAACCCTTGAGCTACAAGCCTTGCCTTGTTGCGAGTGATGATTCCATCTTTATCAACCTTGTTACGATAGACCCAGCGAGTTCCAGTGATAGTTTTCCCGGATGGTCTTGGGACAAGAGTCCAAACTTTGTGCCTTTCAAACTCATTCAGTTCTTCTTGCATGGCTTTGATCCAATCAGCATCTTGAAGAGCTGTGTGTATCTTGGCAGGTAAGATCATTGAAACGAAGTTAACATTCATGCAAAAATTATTAGATACACAAGATCTGGTACGGACACCATCGTGAATATTCCCTATAATTTGATCAACAGGATGATATCGATGTTCCAAGACAAATGCTGATTCCGGAGAATTTGACACTGACAGGTTATCAGTTGCAGGAGAGTCTTCAGCTTCAAGGATTTTATCAGCACCTAATGAATTATCTGCTGATCTGGTTGCAGTATCTTGATTCGAGGAACATGGAACCGGAACTATAGAATCAGAAGAATCAACTTCATCCCCAGCAGGAGGGACTTCGTCAAATGGACAAGAGAGAAGCTCTTGAAAAATAGAAGAAGAATGAGTGACCTTCTCATCAGTGTATGATTCCTCATCAAACTTCAAATGAATGGATTCTTCAATGCATTGCCTGTTCACATGAAAAACACGAAAAGCTTTTGAAATGGATGAGTACCCAACGAAAACACCTTTATCAGCCTTAGGTTCAAACTTGGATCTTGGGTCACACTGATTTAGAATATAACAAATACATCCGAATACATGAAAAAAGGATACATCTGGCTTTCGATCTTTCAGCATTTCATATGGTGTCTTCTTATGAATCCTGTGAATTAGAGATCGATTTTGAGTAAAGCACGCTGTATTGACAGCTTCAGCCCAAAACGACATAGGAAGACCAGCATGGATCATCAAGGTCCTTCCTGCCTCAATCAGTGTTCTATTTCTTCGTTCAGCAACTCCATTTTGTTGAGGAGTATGAGGAGCTGAGAAGTTTTGCCCAATTCCTTTGTGATTACAAAATTCTTCAAGAGTTGAGTTTCAGAACTCAGTACCATGATCACTTCTTAGCTGCTTAACTTTGAGACCTGTCAGTGTCTCATTTTTACAAATCAGTGAGATAATTTCCTGTGCAGCATGACTTTTCTTCTTCAGGAAAACCACCCATGTAAATCGAGTGAACTCATCCACAACCACTAGAGTATACTTATTTCCACCTAGAGAACGGACAGGAATAGGTCCAAACAAGTCCATGTGGAGTAAATGAAGAGGGACTGATATACTGGAACATGACTTGGGTTTGAAAGAGGACTTGGTTTGTTTTCCTTGTTCACAAGCTGAGCACATCTTGTCTTTCACAACGCTGAATTTTGGGAGCCCTCTAACTAGATCTTGATTGGATATTTTGGATAGGTTCTTGAAGTTCAGATGAGAAAACCTTTTGTGCCAAATCCAGCTAAGATTCGTCTGAGATTTTGTAAAGAAGCATTGCATCAGTGCCTTGTCACTCGAGAACATGTCAAGAACATATATATCATCTTTTCTACTTGCTGAAAGTACGATGTTCTTATCAGTATTTACAACTTTGCCTTCCCTCTTTGTAAAGTGAACTTCATAGTCAGCATCACACAGTTGACTGATGGAGATAAGGTTGTGTTTGAGACCCTTTACATATGAAACGTTTTGAAAAACTACATTATTGCATTTGATATTTCCATATCCCTTAGTGAACCCCTTTCCATTGTCTCCATAAGTAACTGCAGGACCAGTTTTCTTGACATAGTCTTCCAGGAGAGACTTTGATCCTGTCATATGCCTTGAGCAACCACTATCTAAGTACCAAAGATGCTCCTGACCCTGCAGTGCTGAGAAACTAGTTAGAACACACTAACCCATTCGAGGATGGGTCATTCACAAAGTTATTTGATAATAAATTATAACACTCCTTAGGAAGACAGTTTAAAGAATTTGACTTAAGAGTCCATTTTTCATTTCTAACTTTAATATTATCAGATCTTGAGGATGATTTATCAAATGAACATTCACTGATCTTGTTAGAGGTATCACCACATCTGTAACAAACTCTAGTACCAAAGTTCTTCTTGGTGAGCAAATTTTTAGATTTAACACATTTTGACATGTAAGATTCACCAAGAGAGCTTTGAGTCCTTTTGTTTATCATTGAGTTACAACTGAATTCAGTGTCAGAAGGAATTCGATCAGTGTTAGATAATAAGCTATCAGTGTCTGATTTTGACTTATTCACAGATGAATTACAATCAGGAAAATGCTTAAGTTGTTCATGAACAGCATGAAACACTCCATTTGAGATAGGAAAGGCAATAATATTCTCAGTGAGTGGAGTTGGTCTTACAAGATGTGCAGGGTAAGAGGTTGGATCAATTCCGGTAATTTCAACATTACACTCAGTAATACCATCAGAATTAGTAATATAGTATTGATCAATTAAACTCTGATTGATAAAGGAGTTACTGACAAACTTATTTTTGAAATTGTTTTTCATCTCATTCATGGAATAACACTCAGATTCCTTTTCTTGTGATTTAAAAACTTTTTCAGCTTCTGCAAAATTACCCCCAAGAATTTTTTTCACATGAATGTGGAATTTGAGCATAAATAATATAATTTGCATTCTTATGAGATTTTGCCCAAGTATGAAGCACAGTTTGTTCTTTGATCAAAAGATTTTTAACATTGTCAATTTCAGCAGACAAAGATGAATTTGACAAACTAGTGATTCTAAGATTTTCCTGAGTGGAATCAATAATGTTATTTTTCATGGATATATCAGTTTCAAGAAGATCAATTTGATTTTGCAAATCTCTTATTGTTTGATTCATCTTAGAATTAATGATGCCCATATACTCAAACATTTTGATTTTTTCATTCATTGAATAGGAAATAAAGTTTTTAACCTGGTACATTGAAGAAGAGTCAGTGTTGTGCTTCCTGGAATTTTCAACAGCATCAGACATATCAACATCAAATGTACTTTTCCCTTTTTCAGAAACATCCGTGTCTTCTATCTTTACCATTAGACACTTCACTTCATCATCTGATGACTCCTCATCAGTCT